ACACAGACTGATGACCCACTATACAAACCTGGGGCTATGTGATAAGAAGGACTTTTTTTCTCTAAAGAGCTCAAACCAAAATGAATTCTTTGAAAGTCTGTGTCTGCAGTTAGAATCAACCCAAATGAGGTGTTAGAAAGAGCAAAACCTGGATGGAACTGGAGATCATTGTGTAAATAAGCCAGGGACAAGGACAAGCTCTGTGTGATCTCACTCATACATGGATTCTTAAAAAAAAAAGCAGATCTCATGGGTGTTGAGAGTGGAGTAGTTATTACTAGAGGCTGGGAGAGATGGGGGTAGAGGGATGGGGAGAGGTTGACTAGTGGGTACTAAGTTATAGTTAGTAGTAAGGAGTTCTGGTGTGTTACTGCAGCAGGTTAACTATAGTTGGTAATTATGTACTATACATTTCAAGAAGTTCCAAGAACATATTTCCAAGGTTTTTCCCATATGGAAATGATAACTGTTTTAGGGAATAGGTACGTTTAGCCTGATTTAAACTATCAACAGTGTATAATTGTACCAAAGCATCCCATAGTACCTCATTAGTATGATTTTTATGTTTTTATTGATCTGTTAATAATAAGTTTAAAACATTTTTTTAAAGAAAAGAAAGCAAAACCAAGTAGCCATCTTATACACTTGGAAAAGGTCAGCTTAAAAGGAAAAGGGTAGGAACTGCAGGGAGATGCAGAGGTGAGGGGCAGGTAACCAAGGTATGTCTTGCTTTTCCTGGGAGCAGTTTCCTAACCTCTGAGGCCCTTTGCTTATTTGTTTATAAGACCTGAGCCTTAAAGAATTCTATCTTGGTCAGGTGCAGTGGTACACACCTATAATCCCAGTGACTTAAGAGGCAGGAGGATGGAGAGTTCAAAGCCAGCCTCAGCAAAAGCAAGATGCTAAGCAACTCAGGGAGACCCTGTTTCTAAAATACAAAATAGGGCTGGGGATGTGGCTCAATGGATGAGTTCCCCTGAATTCTATCCCGGCTATCCCCCTTCCCCCAAAGAATTCTATTTTGGAAAGAGAAAGGTGTATAAAATAGGTGTTCAGACCATCAGACAATGTATCCTTGGAAAGAGTCTTCAGATAGCTCAGTGTCAGAAGATCAAAAGGAAAGTACATGTAGTCACTGAGTTAATTGATTGTTTTACTGAAACAAAAACAAAATCATTAAACAGAACTCAAAGATTTCATGTTGCTTAGGAAGAGACACTAAGCTTTTGTTAACTCTTTGTGACTGGAAGGGTCTCATCCTCAGTCTCCTGTTCATCTTGCCCCCACTGTCTTGGCCATTCTCCTCACCTCCATAAAGGAGAGCCCAGCTGGGTGTATTTCCTCTCAGGATCCTGTTGCAGAGAAAACAAATTTTCCTGGTAGAGATACTGATTTGGAAGATCTCAGTTCTTGTTCCCAAATCTAGCATTTGGGAGTGACTCTAGTACTGGGCACAGACCAGAAAGAGTTGGAGACGAGGACTTTTCATAAAGAAGTGAAAGGGAAAAAAATAATCTCAGGGAGTTGGAAGAAGACAGCAAGATGATATTTGCTGCACATACGTACTAGAACTTACTACCATCTGTCTTCTATGGGAAAGAGCCTCTGGACCTTACTGGGGTCAGTGAACAGGTGATTCAAAGGCCCAGGTGCTGATGTTCAGCTTCCCTCTCAAAGAGGGGAGGCAAGCTCCCTGCTGGGTGGAGCCTCCTTGGACTTGGGTGTGGGGTGGTCCTCAGGTCCACTCACCCAAGAAAAGTGACTTGACTTTTATGGCTTTACCACAGGGAGCAGCTCCCAGTGATCTTTCATCCTCCCCACAAAATCATTCTTTTCTTTGAATTTTCCTCTCTGAAAACAGCATTTTACGTTTACTCAGAGAATCTGTTTTCTCTAAATCCAGGCTTACACTTTGCCTTGGTCTTCCCCAGCCCTTTAATACTGGCCTCTACCTCTAATCATTTCTTTTTTTTTTTTTTTAATATTTTTTTTAGTTGTAGTTGGGTACAATATCTTTCTTTTATTTATTTATTTTTATGTGGTGCTAAGGATCAAACCCAGGGCCTCACATGTGCTAGGCGAGTGCTCTACCACTGAGCCACAACCCCAGCCCCTCTAATCATTTCTTGATGCACCCCCATCCTTCCTCTACCTCTCCATTCAGTCTCTATTTGTACCACCTCCCAGCCCAGAGTCACAGTTGTCTGTCACTAAGTCACTGTTGCATGGAGTCACCTTTGGCTCAGTGGTTTATCCTGATCCTTTCTGTGTGGCTGGGGAGACAGGACCAGGTGGTGGAAAGCCTGTCTGTGCCTCCAGGAGCTGGGTTGAAGGTGGAGCTCTGAGGGAGCTATAGACAATGGTCCCTTCTTGAGAATAACAGTTGGCAAAATAAAGCATGTCCTTTTGAAAGGCACAGAACCTCTCCAGAAGTTTCCTGTGTAGGCAGTCTCCTAAAGCTGTTGTTTGCATATGTTTTAGTGGCATAGCCCTTGGGTTGTTTTTTTTTTTGTAATAGTGACAAACTTGAATAGAAACATTCTGTCCCCTCTAATCCCACTTGACAAAAGCCATTAATTTGGTGGGAATGTAGGTTAGAGGGATGCTATTCTGAGTGAGGGGCTATTTTTGTTTGGTGCAGTCAAAATCTTGGTGGATGCAAACATTCTTAGGCTTGTAACACAGGTGGTTGCAACAAAGAAGCGGCTCATAGATGGCTGTGGATAACATGCGTGATCGCATTTTGTGAATCACAGAGCACAGTGCATATGGCTGTTCCCAGTGTCGGGCTGACAGGGAGACGGGGGCTCTGCTCAGCTGTGACCTAGTAGCTGCACTGCAGGCAGGAAAACGGTCAAAAAATTCTCTGTGACTCCTTTGTAGTTTGTTTTGGGCTAGACGTGAATGGTCATGGGCTTCTAAGGTCTGTTCCAGTTGAAACAGTGAACAGTACAGATTTTTACCGTTGACAGCTCATTTAAAACAGAGATCTTCAAACTGAGGCACATGGATCCTTGGGAAGCAACGAGATTCTCAAGAGTTATGTAATTAATTTTATGGACAACTAATGAAAAGAGCCTGTTTCCAGATGCTCAGCTGCCGTGTACATTCTTTCATAGCATTGCTCTGCCTTTGTTCAAGCTTCTTACACTGTTTCTTCTCCTACTTTTCAAAAGAAAGGCACATTCCTCTCCCTGTCCATCCCAGACATTGCCACCCTGCTTTGTCCCAGAACTGAAGAACCATCTGTAAGGACAAAGGAAGGACCATCCAAACAGGAAGTGCTCCACCTACTGGCTATGACGGCCTCTGGTCACTGTTTCCAACTTCAGCTGTCATCACACTTGAAGGCTTACAGCTGGTAGTGAATTCAAAAATAATTCTTGATGATGAAGTACGACACTAATCTTGATGTGTGTCTTAGTTCATTTGGGCTGCTATAACACAGTGCCTCAGACTGAGTAATTTATGAACAACTGAAATTGCTCACAGTTCTGGAGGCTGGGAAGTTCAAAATCAAGGTCCTGGCAGATCCGGTATCTGGTGAGAGCTTCCTCTTTGTTGCAGTCTCACATGGCAGAAGCAAGATGCAAAGAAGCTCCCCCAGACCCTTCTAGGGCACAGATACCCTGCATGAGGGCTCAGCCTCATGATCTTATCGCCCCCCTCCCAAAGGGCCCCACATCTTAATATCAAAACACTGAGGATTAGATTTCAACACATGAATTCTGTGAGGCAGGAGACTTTCAAGCTATAGTATACAACTCAAGAACAGTTCAAATTTGGAAATAAAGAAGGAAATATTATTTTTAAAACTGTGTCAATTTCAGTAGGAAGAGCTGCTGGTCTAGAGCTGACTTAACTGAGAAATAAGGAGCCTGCATTTCCAATACAACTATTTTGATGTTTAATAATTGATCATCAATATGTAAATTTGTTTTTGATGAAAAAAATATATGTATCTAATAATTATAAGGAAAAACCAATTCCAGTATGAAAAATTAAACTTAGAGGCCTATGATCATAGGAAATAAAAAAAAAATATTTACTTTATAAATATTTTTATAAATACATTTTTGTTGCAGAGAAGTATGATAGTGATCAATATAAGATTTTCAAGTATAAAATATGCTGCATTAAAATGTGTGGGGGAGTGGCATGGAAATACGTATTCAAAATTTAAAAACAAGCCACATGAAATTCCTGTGAAAGAATTTGTATGCATTGTTTTAATCTGATAGGGGTGAAAATCAGATTGTTGTGGCATTATGATCCATTTGATATATCAAAATAATGCTGGAACAGTTCTATTTTAAAGGTCACCATTAATGATACTTCAGAAATCATTTGCTTTGCAACTACTTAAAGAGAAGATGAAAGCTTTTAAATGTTAACTTAAGAAGAAAAAGAAGGGCAGGGTGCATAGTTTCAAAATTCTTATGGGAGGATAAGAGGAGAGAAATCTGAAGTCCTCCATGCCAGAGTGTCACTGGGGAGAAGGCATTCTTACCAGGGAGAAAAGTCCTGGTCCTGCAGTGACTTATGGCTCTGTGACTTTGTATGAAGTACATAAACTGATCTCCTTTGTTTTTCCTGTGCAATGGGGATAAAACTTTTTCGAAATCATGTTAAGAGTTAACTGACTTTATGTGGGCAATGCTCTGAAGAGGACCCTACAAATAACCACAAATTGTCCGTTTTTCTTTTTTTTTTTAAATTTTTTATTGATGGTTGTTCAAAACATTACATAGTTCTTGATATATCATATTTCACACTTTGATTCAAGTGGGTTATGAACTCCCATTTTTACCCCATATTGTCCATTTTTCTTCACCTCCTCCAATATGTCTTCTCTCTCCACAATCTCATGTGTATTCCAAGTTAGCCTTCTCCATAGCCTTTAACAGCTACCCCATTGAATATACTTGTCTCCCATCCCTAAGGTCCCAAGTGTCTTTTACAAGTTAATCCATCAAACAGATATATATTGAGCACTCACTATGTATTGCAGACACTACAAGGGCCCTGAAGATAAGCCTGTGGGTTATAAAAACAGCAGCAGCCCTGTTGTCCTAAGGTTTGTATGCTAATTAAATTCAGGGTGCTGAGAATGCACAGGATGCTCCCAGTGTCCTTTGCCCTTTCACTTTCTTTGGCTGGTGGGAGACCCACTGGGATTCTGCAGATTGGCCTATACCTGCATCCAATGAAAATGTATTGAGAAAATCCTAGGATTAGACCACAGTCTGTCTTCCCTGGAAGATGACTATGGCAACCCTTTATCACAGTATGTGTGGATATGTGTAGAGATTAATTGCATCATATATCTAATTTTGGATTAAAATACAAGTATCTCTGGCTTTCTTAAATCTTAGACTGTTTTCAATTTGTTTAAATTATTGAATACAATTTGAACGACTCAAACCAATTTGTGTTTTCCTTCTAAAACAATACTTTTATTGAGACTTGTTTCTAGAATGTGATTTTTTAAAAAGATACTTAAAATTATAAATTTAGGGATGGAAAAGATCTAGGTATTCAGAGTGATTCTGTTTCTCTTTGGTTTTGAAACAGCATCGTGGAATGTGGTTCTACCACTTACTCAGAAAACTAATGTTCCATAAATACAGCATTGAATTAATTTACCCAGCTTTTATCCGGAAATTTAAAAATAGCCTGCAACATTTAACACTCCTGGTTTCCCCTCTCTACCAGTTCCATTAAGAACAGGTCTTTACAGCCAAAGATTCGAAATATGAGGCATCTCAATTCTTGGGGCCAATGAGATCTTTGATCAAATAAAAGGTTCTTTGAGTCAAGTTAAAAAATATTTTTTCTCCTTTTTTATTGAGGTAAAGTTCAAAAAATAAAGTTTACCATTTTAACTCTTTTGAAGTTTATAATCCAACAGTTTTTATTATGTCCATATGCTGTATAACCATAACCACTTCCTAAATTCTAGAACATTTCATCATCCCCAAAAGAAATCCTACAGTTGTCTAATTTTCCCTTCCATTCCTCCTAACAACCACTAATCTATTTTCTCTTTCTCTAGATTGGCCTATTGTAGACATTTTATATACATTATATACATACATACATACATATTGGCCTTTTTTCACTTAGCATAATGTTTTCAAGCTTCATTCACATTGTAGCCCATATTAATATTTCACTTATTTTCATGCCTGAATACCTCTGTTACTATGAATAATGAAAGTAATTACTTTCAACATTATAATGCTTAAGAAACATATTTACATTTAACACATGCAGATTTTAACCCAAGACACAGAACTTAACCTGCCAGCGAGTCTTCCAGAAGAGAAGAGAGGCCTGGAGGAAGTTTCTAGTCCCTAGACTGGCCTGCAAAGCCCCTGTGCACATGGTGTCTTTCAGATGGACCAAGCCCTTGGTCACAGATCCCGGGTGAGTGTCTTCTGTGTGATCACCTGCTTTTATCAAATAATTTCTCCTAAGTGTTTGTTTTATAGTTGTAGATTATCTAAATGCCTCAGTATCAAAAAGCAAATGGTTCCAGAAAGCTAAAGGGTTTGCCTGCTGTATATGACTCATTATTAAAGTCCACACTGTCTACCCTCCCTGAAATGCTCCAAGGTCACCCAGTGGGAAGCTGCATAACTAAGGGCTCTGGGTTCCTGCTCTCTTACTCACTGGGTTTGAATAGCAAAAGCCTTATAGGCCCAGAGCAGCAGGGTCCCTGCAACTAGTAGAGTTGGGACAAAGTACTTGTCTAGTGCAGTAGGCAGGTTAATGACCCCCAGAGACATCCACACCCTAATCTCTGGAGCCTGTGACTATGTTATGTTATATTGAAAAGGGGGGTTTAAAGTTATAGATGGAATTAAGTTTGCTAATTGGCAGACCTTGAGATGGGATAGTTGATCTTAGATCATCTGAGTGTGCCCATATAATCACACATGTTCTTAGAAGTCAAAGGGGGAGGCAGCATCAGAAGAGATTTAACTACAGAAGCAGAGGCCAGAGGGGTGCAGCAAGAGAAACACTCATCCTGCTTTGAAGATGGAATGGACCACGAGCCAAGGAAAGCGAGTAGCCCCTAGAGTCTGGGAAAGCAGGGGATCACACTCTCCCCTGAAACACCTTGATTTTCACCATTGAGACCCATGTTAGGCTTATGATGCCCCAAAGTACAAGATGATATATCTGCATTGTTTAAGTCTCAGAGTTTGTGGGGATGTGCTGCTGCAGCCATAGGAAGCTAATAGGAGATTGTTAAATATGACCTAAAAGGTGTTGAGGATTAAGACTTAAATAGCAGAAAGGCGAAAAGTTTTGAAGGTGATGAACGTGTTTATGGGAAATGAAGGAAGAGTGAGTGGGTGGTGGGAAGGAATCTGTTTATTTCAGAAATGTAGTCATGTCTTACGTGGAGTGGATAGGAAGGAAACTGCAAAAGAATCTTAATTATGGATGGTTTTTAGAAGAAAAATATCTATGTCAGTGAGAAAGACAAACAGTATAGCATGAGGGACAGTAATGAGGTTCATATCTGAAATGCTTGGGCCCTTGGAGGCTATTTTGCCTGAGGGCTCTGGTGCATATTATCCAACATTTCTGAGTTAGATCTTCTGTGAAAGGTGCCCACAGTTTTAATGCGATTATGTGGTGACCACAACTGCCATAAGATGCAGCACGTCCAGCTGGGGTTGTGGCTCGGTGGAGGAGCACTTGCCAGCATGTGTGAGGCACTGGGTTCGCTTTTCAGCATCACATAAAAATAAATAAAATAAAGGTATTATGTTCATCTACAATTAAAATAAAGGCAATGTGTTCATCTATAACTAAAAAAATAAACTTAAAAAAAAAAAGAGATACAACATATCCTATTTACAAATGTCCCAAGAGATAAAAAATCATTTAACAAGCAGTGATTGTAAATACAAGTTCAACTTGATTTAAAGCTTATTCCCTGGGTTTAACACCTCCTTCAGATTTTTCTCTAACTTACTTATTTACTACATTGAAATATCAACTGGACTTTATTGGAATTAATTCCAATAGAATGGCTGGGAGAAGGGTGAAAGCAAGAAAATACAGACTAGATCTGCCCCAGTTGCCCATGTCCTAATCAGGTTCACACCCAGGCACACGGCTTTGTGACTCTCAGTGGTGTTTCTCACGTGTTTGCACAAGAGGAAGGACTAGACGGTGCAGAGAGAAGGCTCAGGAGGACCACATTACCTTCCATCCTGCTTCCTTGACTGACTAAAAAGAGGAACAAACAGTATCTTGACATCTAGAGAGAGCAGAACATCTCTCTGGCCACTGGGGACAATCAGCTTGTGGTCCTAGCCTGTTAGAAATAAAAAGCTTTCTGGGATCAACTCTTTTACTCTTTATCTTTTTAGTTTGTTTTGCATGAAAATGAATGGTTTAAATTAATATGAATTTTTGTTTTTCCTGCAGGTACCTTATACTTATTCTCTTTTGTGTACAACATGTATATGGAGTAAGTACATTAATTTACACTGGCTGCATGTTGAGAATTCACTTTCTTGAATGTATTGTTTTGTTATATTTTTAAACACTTTCTGGGGCTCAGTTTTTTTAATCTGGGAAATGGAGGTTTAGCTACAGTAACTCTAAGGTTTCTTCAATATTTTGTGGTCAAGATTGCTTTTGGAATTGCCTGGGTGTTAGATTGTTATTTTATAATTAACATAACCTTTTCTTAAAAACATTTTTTTGGAGACAGACAAGAGGCAGCTGGGCCATATCAAGATTAAATCAGAAAATATAAGATTAAATTTGAACATTTTAGCTCTGCAGAAAGATAAGCCTAGAACATTCTGTAATAAGCCCTCTTACTTCTGCCTCTTCACTAAAGAATCTAAGTTATTAAACCCAATCTCAGAAGTTTCTGGAAAATCCAGTTATGAGCTGCCTGTAACTCAGATTGATCTTTAAACAACTGGACTGGCTTGAGTCCACCCAATCCAATTTCAGAGATTCAGATTATCTTAGGTCTTTCCAAAGCAAATGGAAGCAGGTCATTAACCTTGTTCTCTCCTTCCTACCAGTTGGGAACAGACAGCACGTGGGTCAAGGAACAGGCATCCTTGGTTCTTGGCTCTGCCACTGATTCATTCCTTAACATACCTACGGCTCAGTCTTCTCCATGTTAAGGGGGGATGGAAGGCTGGTTCATGTACATTTGAGAACAATGGCTGACTGCTGTTGATCTTACCTGATTTTTTCTGAGTTTACTTTTATATCATATTCTTTTGTTTTCTAAGTCTACCAAGTCTTAAATTTCACTTCATTTGATCCTTATATTCCATGCCAATGAATATAATTCCTGAACCAAGGATCGTTCTATCCTGGACCCTCCCACTGGCTTGTGGTCACACAGGAGTAGATATGATGATTAGATTTTAAAGGTAGAGGTACAAACTGATGCAATATCCATGTTCCTCAGTAGAGGGTAGTGGAACAAGTTAAGATCCTTTGTAATGGATGGCTATACAGATTCTGTCAGAATGATTATGAAGACATTTGATTATGTGAAAGTGGCAAATTATTGGGCAGTATACCATTGGGTAATAATAAAAGCAGGTCAAAAATCACTGAAAGTGTGTGTGTGTGTATGTGCATTTGTTTACATGTGTGCTTGTGTGTGTGAGAGAGATTGTGGTGTGAGTATGCTTATTAATACCCAGACACAATTTTTTTTAGTTAAAATTTCCTTTATTGTCTCAAAGATGTCTTTTCATGGTACAAACAAGAAGTACACATTTGGTTATTATGTCTCTTAAATCATTCTTTTTCCCTCAGATTTTTAATCGGTGCATTATAGTTGTACATAATGGTGGAATTTGTTGTTACATATCCATATATGCACACAATATAATTATATAATTTGGCCCGTATCACTCCCTCACACTTCCTGCCTCCCTCTCTCCCTCTCACTCTCTGGTCCCTTTCCTCTACTGATCTCCCTTTGATTTTCATGAGACCCTCGCTCTGCCCACAACTTTCTTTTCCTTTTTCCTTTATGGCTTACACATATGAAAGAAAACATATGACCCTTGACCTTCTGAGTTTGGTTTATTTTGCTTAACATGATGGTCTCCAGTTATTTATGTATATTGCAAATGCCATAATTTTATTTTTGTATGACTAAATGAAATTTTATCGTGTATATATTCCACATTTCCTCTATCCATTCATCTGGTTCCATAGTTTGGTTAATGTGAATTGTGCTGCCATAAACACAGGTATGCAGGTATCACTGTAGTATGATGACTTTAATTCTTAAGAACAAGTACTGGGAAGTGGTATAGCTGGGTCATATGGCAGTTCCATGCCTAGTCTTTTGAGGAAGCACCATACTGGTTTCCATAGTGGTTTACTAATTTACAATCCCACCAACAGTACGAAAGTATTCCTTTTTATCTTCATCTTCTCTGCCATTTATTATTTTGTATTCTTCATGGCTGCTGTTCTGACTGGTATGAGATGAAATCTCAATGTAGTTTTGATTTACATTTTCTTAATTGCTAATGATGTACATTTTTTCATATATTCGTTGACTTTTTATATTTCTTGTTTTGAGAAGTACCTGCTTAATTCATTTGCCCATTTATTAATTGGGTTATTTGGCTTTTTGGTGTTAAGTTTTTGAGTTCTTTATTCTAGATATTAATCTTCTGTCAAAAGAAGAGCTAGCAAAGATTTTCTCCCATATGCATGTTCTACCTTAACATTTTATTGTTACCTGTTCTATGCAGGAACTTTTTAATGTTATGCCATCCTATCCATTAACACTTGACATTATTTCCTGATCTTTAGGATTCCTGTTGAGAAAGTCATTGCCTGTGTGCTGGAGTATTGATCCTACATTTTCCTCTAGGAATTGCTAAAGTTCTGTTCCAATTCCTGGGTCTTTGATTCATTTTGAGTTGATTTTCCTGTGCAGGGTGAGAGATACGGGTCTAGTTTTATCTTTCTTTTTTTTATATTATTATTATTATTTTTTTAAATTTTTTATTGTTGGTTGTTCAAAACATTACAAATTTCTTTTTTTTTTTTTTTTTTTTAATTTTTTATTGTGGGTTGTTCAAAACATTACAAATTTCTTGACATATCATATTCCACACTTTGATTCAAGTGTGTTATGAACTCCCACCTTCACCCCATACACAGATTGCAGAATCACATCAGTTACACATCCATTGATTTACATATTGCCATACTAGCGTCTGTTGTGCTCCGCTGCCTTTCCCATCCTCCACCATCCCCCCTCCCCACCTCTCCCCTCCCCTCCCCTAGTTTTATCTTTCTACAGATGGACAACCAGTTTTCCCAGCATTATTTGTTAAACAGGCTGTCTTTTCTCCAATGTATGTTTTTGGCACCTTTGTCAAGAATGAGATGACTGCATCTGTGTGGATTTGTCTCTGTGTCTTCTATTCTGTATCACTGGTCTTTGTGTCTGTTTTTGTACCAGTATCATACAGTTTTTGTTACTATAGCTCTGTAGTATAAACTAAAGTCAGGAATTGTGATTCTTCTAGCACTATTTTTTTTCTTTTTTCTTTTCTTTCTTTCTTTTTCTTTTCTTTTTTTTGCTTAGACTTGTTTTGGTTATTCTGGGTCTTTTATTATTCCAAATGAATTTTAGAACTACTTTTTTCTAGTTCTGTAAAAAACACCATTTTGATGGGGATTGCATTGACTCTGTATATTGCTTTGGGTAGTATGGCCATTTCAATGACATTAATTCTAACAATATTAATTTATCTTATTCATGAACATGGGAGGTCTTTCCATATCTGTGTCTTCTTCAACTTCTTTCTTCAATGTTTTTTAGTTTTTCATTGAAAAAGTTTTTCACCTCCTTGATTAGGTTTGTTCCTATGTATTCTTTTCTGATTTCTTTCTCAGCAGATTCATTGTTGGACACCAATGTAAACTGATTGATCCTCTGTTTTAGGGAACTTGGGCCAGGATGGGAAAAGAAAATTTTTTTCCTGTTACAGTCTTTTGCACTATTTGAATTTTTTATTTTGTGCCTATATTGTTTGTTGTATAAAAAAGAAAATTGAGGTCCATCTTTAGGGCAGATGGCTATTCTGCTAGAAATTAACTTATTTTCTTGAACTTTTTATGCAGCAAATATTTGTTTTAAAATGCCCAAGATAAAGCAGAGTGACTTTTCCTGTTTTTCTCTTTGAAGAAAAGTAACATTGGTTTCCTGAGAGTATAAGTGTGTTCCCCGTCAGTGTAGTTCATATTTTGAATGTTTAGTTGTCTGAGATACTGTCTTTATTTTTTTTCAAAGGGTTTATGCAATCTATTTTTGAGGGTCAGACTCTTCCCCTGTGAATTCACTGTTCCCTTTTAAATGTTTATTGAGGTGTTGCTTTATTAGAATCTGCTGATCTATTTTAAACTGACTCTATTTTGTGATGTAATTTTGCTAAAAACATCTCAGTGATGCTTGGCAAAGATAAGTAAAAATAAATACATAAAAAATCCTTCATTATCAAGCCATCTGATCAACTGACCTTTTTTTCTCTGGTTATTTTGATATTTCACTGAACACACAGTAATGAATCCCAACCTTAAATGACCCGAGTGTTCAGACTAGCTACTTTAAGTGCTGTCCCAACTTGGCCCTGGGTATTTAATATTTTTTTAAACCTTATCAGTATTTTGAATGTAGGTATTGTAGATAACAATGTTACTCAAAATTTAAGGGACATATATTTCAGAAACTTCAAATACATTTTTAACTTAAATTATCTACTTGCTTGGCTCTTGTGAAGCTTCAAATTCTTACATACTTTTAATGACCCAGGAGAATTTTATTTATAAAGATGTCTTTTTCATTAATGCTCATAGATATTTTATTTGGGATTTTGTCTGAGCATACTTTTCTCCCAAAGAAGCTGAAATTGTGTGATTGAAAAGCATTTCTGGAAAGACTCCTTTCCCTCTCTCACACACACACACACACACACACACACATGCATGCATACACATTTATGTATATGCATGTTTGTCTATATGTGTTCATATATACATGCATATTTATATGTATTATGTTTTACATATATGTATGTTTATGTGTCTTCCATCTTAACTATAAATATTGGTTTAGCTGTGTTATGTTTTCCTATTATACATTGGTCTAGAGACTTCAGTTTAAAAAGATCTATCAAGCTGGGCATGGTGGCACACGCCTGTAATGCCAGTGACTTGGGAAATCTGTTGCAAGAGGATCAAAATTTCAAGGCCAGTCTCAGGAACTAAGCAAGACCCTGTCTCAAAAAAAAAAAATACTGGGAATTGGAATTGGGGATATTGGGGATGTAGCCTCAAAAAAAAAATACTTGGGAACCAACTTAATGAAAGAGGTGAAAGACCTATACAATGAAAACTACAGAACCCTAAAGAAAGAAATCGAAGAAGACCTTAGAAGATGGAAAGATCTACCTTGCTCTTGGATAGGTAGAATTAATATTATCAAAATGACCACACTACCAAAAGCACTATACAGATTTAATGCAATTCCAATCCAGACCCCAATGACATAAGATCATAGAAATAGAAAAAAACAATCATGAAATTCGTCTGGAAAAATAAAAGACCCAGAATAGCTAAAGCTATCCTTAGCAAGAAAAGTAAGCAAGTAGCATCACTATACCAGATGTTGAACTATACTACAGAGCAATAGTAACAAAAATGACATGGTATTGGCAGCAAAATAGACTGGTAGACCAATGGTATAGAATAGAGGACACAGAGTCTAACCCAAAAAATTGCAATTATCTTACATTAGACAAAGGTGCCAAAAACATACATTGGAGAAAAGACAGTCTCTTCAACAAATGGTGCTGGGAAAAACTGGAAATCCGTACGCAACAAAATGAAACTAAACCCCTATCTCTCACCATGGACAAAACTCAACTCAAAGTGGATCAAGAATCTAGGAATTAAACCAGAAACCCTGCATCTAATAGAAGAAAAAAGTAGGCCCTAATCTCTATCATGTCAGATTAGGTCATAAGAATTAGCATAATAATTAAAATCAAGAATAAAAAATGAGATGGATTCAAACTAAAAAAGTTTCTTCTCAGCAAAAGAAACAATCAGTGAAGTGAATAGAGAGCCTCCATCTTGGGAGAAAATTTTTACTCCTCACACATCAGATAGAGCACTAATCTCTAGGGTATATAACAACTCAAAAAGCTAAACACACACACATACACACACACACAAACCCATTTAATAAATGGGCCAAGGACCTGAACAGACACTTCTCAGAAGATGATATACAGTCCATCAAAAAATATATGAAAAAAATGCTCAACATCTCTAGCAATCAGAGAAATGCAAATCAAAACCACTCTAAGATATCATCTCACTCCAGTCAGAATGGCAGCTATTAAGAATACAAAGAACAATAAGTGTTGACGAGGATGTGGGAAAAAGGCACACTCATACATTGCTGGTGGGATTGCACATTGGTGTAGCCAATATGGAAAGCAGTATGGTGATGCCTTGGAAAACTGGGAATGAAACCACCATTTGACCCAGCTATCACCCTCCTTGTTCTATACCCAAAAGATTTAAAAACAGCATACTACAGGGACACATCCACATCAAGGTTTATAGCAGCACAATTCACAATAGCTATATTGTTGAATCAATCTAGATGCTCTTCAGTAGATGAATGGATTAAAAAAATGTGGTATGTATACACAATGGAATATAACTCAGCAATAAAAGAGAATAAAATCATGGCATTTGCAGGTAAATGAATGGAGTTGGGGAAGATAATGCTAAATGAAGTTAGCCAATCCCCCAAAAAACAAATGCCAAATGTTTTCTCTGATATAAGGAGGCTGATTCATAGTGGGGTAGGGAAGGGGTGCATGGGAGAAATAGACAAACTCTAGATAGGGCAGAGGGGTGGGAGGGGAAGGGAGGGTGCATGGGGTTAGAAATGATGGTGAAAATTGATGGACATCATTATTCAAAGTACATGTATGAAGACACAAATGGTGTGAATATACTTTGTATACAACCAGAGATATGAAAAATTGTGCTCTATATGTATAATATGAATTGTAATGCATTCTGCTGTCATATAAAACAAATTTAAAAAGGAATTGGAATTGGGGATGTAGCTTGGTGATAAAGCATCCTTGGATTCAATCCCTAGTAGTAAAAAAAAAAAATGTCAATTACAGAAATGTGCAATTACTATGTGCATGTTTGTTAGGCAGTTTGTCTCTGGTGCTGACTTGATGTTCCTGTCCAGGCCCTCAGTTCCCACCACCTAGGGCATCTTTGACCAACACCTGTCCACCTCGCCCATCCAACCCACAGCCCCTGTGAATGAGTGCAGGCACACTGTATGACCCTTTGAACTAAGGGACCCACTTACAATCTCTCTGGGACTACACTTTTGTACTAAAGTGGCTGATGACACTGGTTCTGGATAATTAGCATTTGTGAGAACAAAGTGACGATTCTTGCCAAAGGTGTGTGTGTGTGTGTGTGTGTGTGTGTGTGTGTGTGTGTTGACTCTCTAATGCAGAAAAGTCAGCTAAAAAATGGGGAGAGGGCACCAATTATTTAGGTTCAGAAGTTTTCTGCTTGAGAGACACATTAGAGGAACCATCTTGGAGTATTGGCACACTGTAAGGAAGAATAATTTTTATCTGAAGCATGAGACCGTACTGGACAATGGTCCTGGAAAGGACTTCACAAGGGAGACAGGCCAGTTGATCCAGGAGGCAGAGCAAGGTGATCATGAAAAAAGTCAAGCCTATCTGCTAAATTAGATGCCTCTATATACGTGTGGTTTGCTCAACTGTCTGGTTCGTACTCTAAGTTTGCTCTCAACTTAGAACATCATGAAGTCTTCCTGGGAGACAGAAACTGTAGAAGCTTCTGGCCAAAGCAAAGTGACTATAGAAGGACCATGTCTTTTCCCCAGTGTCCTCAGTCTTGGAAGCCACTTGCTGGTATAGTCAGCCCTGCTTATTATGAAGCCCCAGTGTAAGTGCTTTGCCTTTTAATACGTCAGTATTAGTTGTTGCTTCTCATGGATCCAAAGGTAAGAGTGTACCATGGGATTCTGGCGAGCTAGGCAAACCCAGAGTGCTTGTTGTGCTGTGCATTGCATGTATCCAACTAAGAGATGAGCACTCGCATGCTAAAGAAGCTGCTTCCATTTCCAGGGTGGAAAGAAATACATCGGTCCTTGTGGAGGAAGAGATTGCTCCATTTGCCAGTGCTTTCCTGATAAGGGCTCTCGGGTAAGTGATGTAACAATCAGACCAGGCAGCTTGCCTGAATTTTGAACCATCCTGAATACTTACATTAAGTTGTCTCAGACCCTGGCATGTTGTGAATGCTTATGTTGAGAATACTTATGTCTTTTACAATCAGAGTTGTTCACATTCTAATAAGCGATTTCAATTACATTAGACTGTGTGTCAAGCTGGGAAGATGGCCTGGGCAGTAATGGTTCACCTGTGATTTTTGCAACACTAATCTTGTGAATGGTCTCATGAAGAAAGGGTCCTGCTGTCACAGGATGCATACTGGATTGTGTCCTTGGCAGTTATCTTGCTTTGAGATGTAGTGCGATGAGTGAGATGATTTTTAGATTTTTAAAAAGCAGTCTTTTCAGACGTTTGACTGTTAGTCTTTCATGGATGGCACCCATTGAAACCTGTGGGATGGTGTTCTAATCATGGCGATAGCTGTACTTATTTCAAGCTTATTATTTGCCAGGAGCTTTTATGTGTGCTGGAAATGCCCTGGTTCATTGGCCCTCACAACAACCTTCTTAATCAGACCAACATTGAAGTGTAGGAGACTGAAGTGTAGACTAGGTTAGTGTCTAGCTCGAGTCCACCCAGAACAGTACTCTTGATGATTAGACTGTTGTCAATTCTGCAAAGCACAGGGAACTTCTTGGTTACTGCCTGTCAGGCTTCTTGAACTTCATGAACATCTCCACTATGTTCTGAGAGCAGCATTTGGCAGCCCACTATTCATCCATGCTGAGTACTAAAGCAAATAATTCTTCAGTTAAAAATGCTCTTATGATTTTTATATAGATATACATTGAAGTGCCACTCTGCACCCCTTAAATATGTACAATTGTGTGATAATTAAAAAAACCATATTTTTAAAAAAACACTCCCATAATCTTACAAAAGGGATTGTGTTTCAGAAGTTTGGGACAGTTTTTAAATCAGATCAATGATTCTTTGAAAATGTGCCTTCTTCTGTTCAGGTTGCTGAAACAAAATATCACATAAAAATCTTTAGCTCTTTAAAAATTGTCAATAGCTTCTGGAACACATGTCTTTCTTACAAGATTATGGGAGTATTTTTTAAATGTATATTTTACTTTTAATTGACACATAATCATACATAATTAAGGGGTGCAGATGGACCCTTTGATATATGTATACAAAAAGAATTATTTGCTCTAATACTTCGGCATGGATGGTAATGGGCTGCCAGCTGCTGCTGTCAAACCTATTTCTCACAGTTCTGAGGGATGGGAGGCCCAAGATCAGGGTGCCTGTAGGTCCTGTGTCTGGTGGGGGCCTCTTCCTGGTTTTTGGATGATTGTCTTCACTGTGTCCTCACATGGAGAGAGTACTCTGGGGTCCTTGCATAAGGAATCCTCTTCATGCAAGCTCCATAGTTATGACCAAACAACTCCCCAAAGACCCCATTCCCAGCACCATCTCACTAGGATGTCAACATGTGCATTTTGGGAAGACACAAACATTCAGTCCAGAACAGTGTCCATATCAATCCCACAGGGCTGTGCAGGATCCTCAAAGAGCACATTTCAGTAGAGATTGGTCTTTACAACAAAAAAATTACCTTCCTGACAGAAAGGACTGAATTTTTCTCCCATTGCATGTTTTTATTGTTACATAGTAGGTGTGTTCTGTGGTTCCTTTGTTGGACTGTTTTACTGTAAGCCACCAAACTTATTGATGTAAATGACAGCAAACCTCTGTGCAATATATGAAAGATTTTTGTCACCACAATTTATCTTGAGCTTTGTCAAGCTACTTTCACCGTATAATTTAAAAACTGAATCATCAAGGAAAACAAAGTTAAGACGCTAAAAAACTAGCAACCTAAGAAGTACTTTAGCTTTTCCATGTACATGTACAGATGATTTACAAATATCCCAGCTTTGGGGTGAGGTTATTAATGCAAACATACCAAGATTATAGAAATACACAAAGAAAAAAAAAGTGCATCTAAATTTTAAGACTTCTGGGCCTGAGGCCTCCTCAAAATGGATTCGATCAGCTCTGTGGTGGGAAGAAGAGCAAACCAAAAATGAAGAGGGGCGGTTGCTTCGATGGAGCCAGCGTGGGGGGGTCCTGTGGTTTAAAGGAGGCTGGGGTGTGTCAGCAGCTGTGCCTGTGCCTTGGCAAATCTGTCCCTCCACTCTATGGTTCTTGGCTGGGGGTAATTGGGCTCTCCCTCCCGGACACTTGGCAGTGTCAAGACAGTTTTTGGTTGGCACTGGATGGAAGGGTGCTAGAGGTGTCCCCTGGGCAGAAGCCACAAGGATGCACAGCACAGCTCCCAAGCCAGAGAGTGATCCCTGCCCGACGGCCTGCAGCACAGAGGCTGAGGAGCCTGATGTCACCCCACAAAAGCTCCCTAAGGCAGGTGATATTGTTATTTCCATCTGATGATACAAGGAATCCAAAGTCCCAAGTTCTAATTAACTTGCTGTGTGCAGAGCCAGGAGTCACATCCAGGTGTCTGGCTTCTCGTCCACATTTGCCCCGTGATCATGGAAATATCATTACACTAAGGTTCCAACACCTGGGCTTAGTACGGGGAAAACACCCAGGTGGGCACTTTAATGGGACCAAGCCTTCCCAGTGTCCTTGTAATTATACCACTCGTCCTTTTCTTTCTATTTCCTCAGGCTGTCAATCACAAACCAGTGCCCTTGGCATTCTCCAAGGCAGTCTATGTGCGAAGAAGGCTCAAGGAGCTGAGCTGCACTCTCTGCTATGTGTGTGTCTCTGATTCAGGGTGGTCAGAGAGGGCTGCTTACACAACAGGAAAGCTCTGTCCTTCCTGAGACAGAGGTTCTCCCTGTGAGGGATGCAGGTGCAGGGATTGTTTTCCAGTGGAGAATTTGGGAGCAGGGCCCATGCATAACTTGGGAGATCGTTTGGGAGGCGGGCTTGCTCAGGTCTCCAGCAGCCAAGTCTGCCTCTTGGGCTACAGTAGCAGCTCAAGATACCCTGACTTCCAGAGGCTGGATGAATCTCCCTGAGGCTTCCCAGCCATTTGTGGCATTTTAAAAGAAAAATGTTCCTCTCTTGGAGACCAGTGCTCAGATGGGTACTTCATTTAAGTCCCACATCAGGACTGCCATGGCTGAACATCATCAACAGCAAGTCTGGCCCAGGGCTGAGGAAAGGCTGTGGTCACCACTTTATGGGCGCCTGGAGCTAGAGTTAGAGGTGGAACTGGGACATGCCTGGGGCTGAACCAGCTGAGCCTCATCAGCATTCCACAGAGGCCAGAAGTCTAGCCTCTACTCATCTTCCACCCATGATCACTACTACTGCCCCCTCTGACTCCCCAGCCACATCCACTGGGCTGCTGGCTCTCTTGGGAAGACATTCGGAACACCCCCTCTTCTCTACATGTTTCTCGATGTCATCCTCTTTCACCCTACTGCCATCTCCCTTCCAGAAGGAGCTCTGTATTGACACCACCCTGCAGTGTCCCTGCTTACCCACCCTCTCCCTGCTGGGACTCCTCACAGACTCTCGTGGGGGATTCTCTTCCACTCTCCCCCTCCGTGCTCCTCAGCTCCGGCTGGGCTGAGTGTGGCTATGCCCACACTCTTGATGAGATTGTGCCCATGCACTAGGTAAAGATGGTCATGAGAATGGCACGAAAGGCATTTCCTGACTCCCGATCCATAGCACACTTTGGAAACCCAAGTCCTCTTCATTTCCCTGCTTTGGGAGCTGGGAGTCATTTTGTCACACCGCTTTGAGATTATCCCTGTACATGGCACTCAACGGGGAGTTTATACCACCCTGGTTAGGATTTGGGAGCCAGGTCAGCATGCAGGGGATAGGTAGGGACACTTGCTCTTCCCAAGAGAAGGGGGGACACAGTTAGTGGGGAATCATGCCCTAGCCTGCCTTCCTCCCCTCACACGAGAGCCTGCTGTGAAGTGCAGGATCTGTCATAGGGCAAATTTCCTTGTGGGTTCAGGTAGGGCCAGGTGGAACACTTTGAGCAGCAGGTGAGCTGGGATTCCTGCCGTGCTCAGAGCTTTTCAAGGAGCAGTGACTGAGGACAGAGTCCTCGCTGAGGGCCAGAGACTTATGCTCTTGACCTTTTCCAGGTTCTGAGTTCCCACCTGAGAAACGAGGGTTCTCACTAGAAGGCTCGACCTGTCCCTCCTGGCTCTCAGGTCCTGCGGTTCTGTAATGTGGGGCATGGTTCATGAATGACAGCTGCTGGTTTCCAAAACGATTTGTGACTCCAGCCTTACACTTCCCCAGACTTCATTCTGATTCTGCTGTAAGGATGTGAATGGGGTGGAACCCGGCAGGATTCAAAGCTTTTCTTGATCGGTTTTAAGGGAGGAAGCTCTATGCATTCAGTGGTTGTCCCTTTGTAGGAAAATATTATGTCATGTCTTTATGAACCCGGATGGACTTTTTAAAGTTTTGCTTTAGCAACCAGGAAAATAAAGACACCTTCTACCTTTGATTCCAGAAAAGAGTAGATTCATACTGTTTACCGTCCATGGGAATTTAGCCACTGCAAAATCAAGAGAACTTCATGATGTGATTGTTTTTCGTATAAGGAGGTCAAATGACTTAAAACTCAAGAACTGTGTTAGTATTTGGGTTTGAAACTCAAAATCAGACAATTAGTGGGGTCACTATTTCCTTTGGAAAGTTTAGATATCTCTATATAGAGAGTACATATAAATATGTACACTACAAGTAGTTTTCCTGCAATTTCATTCACTCATCTGTTATACTTTTAAGAGGCTGCATTCCAAGATAAAAATGGAATTTACTTGGGGGATTTTAATTATTGTTAATATTTTTCATATCATTAAATTATTTGCACATGAAGTTCTAAAATTCCGTCTCTATCACTCTCACAGCTGTGGGTTAGAACACTTCCTAACTGTGGCCTGATAAGTGGTTCACAGCAATCATTTTTATGTCCCAGAGTTCACATAAGTCAATTATGTTCTATTTTGATGAAA